GTTTAGATCCTTATATTGTTGTCAACCCTTGCTAATATTATATTCTTTTGGTATTCTCGTAAATAGTAGCAGAAACACTTTGACAATCTAAGAAAATCATGGCGACAATGCACGGTAGTTTTTTTATTCTCCGGTTATGGGTACCAATCTGTTGTTGTCCATAAAATATCTCTACTTTGTAAGAAAAAACATTGTGACAATGTATGGCATTTTTTGTTCTCCGCTTATGGTGAGTCTGGCCAGTCGGTTATGCACTACATCGAGTGATATGCAAAAGTGGTTAATTGGCTTTAACTTATATTGAAACAGTCCGGTATAAACCTTGGTATACTGCATCAGTGTTTATTATAACCATGTCCTTCTGTTCCTGTTGTACTTTCTATCTGCATATTTCTCGTAGGCGTTGAAGCCGTAATGACGATGCATCATAAAACATGAAGAACTCCATGCACGCGTCAGTGGAAGCCGTTAACGACCTCTACTGTTGATCCGGTCTCAGTCTCGATCAGTCGGGGGTGTTGACATCCGCGTTCTGGTTGGATGAAACCTTGGATGCTGCTGTAAGAATGAGGGCAATGAACAGGCAGCTGAGTCGAGGTATAACAACACAGGTTCTATTCTACTCTATCCCCATGGTGACACTGATGCTATCCTCCGATGCTACAGCAATGAAAGCTTCACAAACTCTCTGTCCACGTACTCCCTGTTCCGATGTATCCTTCAACAGTGACACCTTGTCATCAAATACGATTTCGTATCTTACTTTTTCACATTTTATGTTATTAATCATCCTAGTTTCTGACATAAGCAGCTAATATATATAAATTATTACGTTTACATACATCATAAATTCATGAATATTCATTGCTGCAAAAAACATTATCATTACGTTTACATCCACGATAAATTCATGAATATTCATGAGGCAAAAAACAGTTTCAGAAAACACAGATATATTTGGGCTTACCTTCACTTTTTCTGCTTGCTGGTTTGTTGGGTTTTGCATACATGTCTTCAATACCCAGAGTGATCTGTACTTCTGTTGCATTGTGGGTTTTCCTAACCTTGTTGACCTTTGCATACACATCTTAAATGAAAACAAGGATTATCTAATCTTGTGATACATTGTGTATTCAGTAATGTTTATCGGATGTATGTATCGTCTATCGTCTATGATTGCTGGGGAATCATTTCCAACTGCCACAGTTGGTGTACATACATATGAAGTGGATGTATATATCGTCCATATCTCTGTGACGGTGAAAAACGGCATTCTCAACTGCCGCAGTTGGTATACATATATATGAAGTGGATGTATATATCGTCTATGTCTCTGTCAATAGTAACTTACGTCACCGTCACAATATGATATGAATGACGTCAGTATAACTTACCTGAAATCTGCTGTTCCTCTGCTGACTCCTGGTTCTCAGCTCTGGCAAATCCGTGATACAAATCATTATCCTCCATCACTAAACACAGGAAATGTACCACAAATTATAAAATAATCTTATTACGGTTTTGATAAAAAGTCATGAGCCGTTTTTGAAAGTAGATTGTTGTCGTTGAGGATTTATGTTCATATCAGATGTATTCAGCCTTCACCAAAAAAAATATTCACAGAATCAGACAAATATTTGTTACACATACAAACCTCACTTATTAACAACACGTTCTAAAGTCAACTTTCTGAAAAACTTTCTGATTTCTTTGGGTCTCAATCTGACTCACTTCCACATAACACAATATAGCCTACCTGACACCTGTTGTCTCTCTGTATTAACCTTAATCACTTCCACATAACACAATATAGCCTACCTGGCACCTGTTGTCTCTCTGTATTAATCTTAATCACTTCCACATAACACAATATGGGCTAACTGGCACCTGTTGTCTCTCTCTCTCTCTCAATCTTACTAATTTCAACATAACACAATATAGCCTACCTGGCACCTGTTGTCTCTTTGTCTCAATCTTAATCACTTCCACATAACACAATATAGCCTACCTGAAACATGTTGTCTCTCTGTATCAACTAATGAATTCCACATAACACAATATAGCCTACCTTTCACCTGTTGTCTCTGCTGACACCTGGTGTTCATTGTCAACAACTCGTCGATAAAGGACATTAAGCAGATTGAAGTGTTGAAATGTATAAGATAATAAATTACACCCAGGATTCAGATAATATAATATGACAAAACGGTATCTCTAACACAAAGGAAGCATAAGAGTGAGTCATAAACATACCGATCGTCTCTCTCTCAGAATCCTCGTTCTGTCCCCCTTCTTTGCTGAAACATTCAGAGAACAGAAAAATCAGAAATATGTTATCTCCATGGTGACCTCGGGCAAAAAGCGAAATGGTGTCATGATGTCACCAGAATAACCTACAGCCGAAGTTGAAGGTCTTTGTATAAAACCAGGAAATTTAAAGATTCAGTGTTTATGTTCAAAGCCAAAGTGGTGTGCTGGTGCTTCTCAGTAATCTATAAAATAAGCTCATGATATTGTCGGAATCTCTAACTGACGCTGCTTTTGTCAGAGATTTCTCATGAAAATGGAAAGGGTTTTGTCGCTTTTATTTATTTGTATAATGATGTGTCTAAGACATAATCTATTGAAGACACGATTCCTCATGTTGTAAAACATCTTTCACATTCTTTCAAAGAGACGTTGCTGAAGTATCGATGATGATGCCAGATGCAAGTAGACTAAAACGTCGCAGTGCTGTTTTGATTGATGCTGCAACTGTTACATGCCACTTAAAGGTGATGTCACCATTCATGTTAGTATTAAGAATTAAAACACAGCAAACACGTACCCGTTGTCTTTCTCTGTCTTGTCTGAAAACAATATTTATTATTGAACGGGGAATCTGTTTTGTTTTCAGTTCATACACATATTGGCAAAGGAATGAATGCGTTAACGTTTTACATCATATGAGATCTCTTTTATTTAAGTAACAAGATTATTCGTATCATATGAACGTAAACGTAGAAGAACGTAAGTAAACATTCATACCATTTGTCTGCCATTTCCCCTCCCGTCTGGATTGGTTGCACAATAACACAACGATGACGATGACAACCACAATCACCACACCACCCGCCGATCCAGCAACAATAGAGATGAAACCAACTGTATGAATAAAAGGGGCTGAAGGATAATACATACATGTTCATTTCATCAGGACACATCGGATGAAAGTAAATCAATACAGATTAAAGCCATCGATAAAACTTGACTGATAATATCGCCAAGTCAATTTCTAAAACAACTTTTCCATGATCGTTAAACATTCTTAAATTAGTAAGGTCAAAATAATGATGTCTTAAAGTTTCACAAGGTTTTGTAAAGCAGTACCTGTATTGCAGGACCCTAGTTTTCATACATACTTTTTGTGGACACTATTGGGTTCGTTGGCATTATATCTGTGTCATCAGTCGTGGATGGACCTTGAAGCATACAGATATTCAGAATATAACACATTGAAACAATCGTTTAACACACAGTTAAATCTAGGCCTCACAAAGATTTAAGAATGGGTAACTCAATTAATATGTATTATTTATGGAGTTGTGAAGCGTCAAGTCACGAAAAATCATGAAACATATTTGATTAAATATTGCTTCAGTGTGCTTTTTTAAACGGAAAAATCGCACAACAGAAATAGGCTCATGTGTGCAGGTGAGGTGAGGTGAGGTGAGGTGAGGTGAGGTGAGGTGAGGTGAGGTGAGGTGAGTATTGCACTTTTATAGCAACGTGCATGCACGTTTGTGTGTGTGGCTGATTGTACTAGGCCGGACTGATGCCGATGTATAGTGCTAGCTCACTGAGATACCATGCCGAAGATTAAAATGAATACCCCACTCTGACACAGTATACTGACTCTGAGCCGACCAGTCCTTGTTTTTGACCTTTAATGCCGAGCGTCAGACAAGGTAACAACAAGTATCATCTGTTAATGGCTTTTGGTGTGACGCGACCGGGGATCGAACCCTGGACCTTTCCCTCTCCGGGCGGACGCTAGTCCACGGAGGCAGTCCGGGCATTGCATAAAATTTCCAACAAAAGAAATGTGCATGCTATATAAAGCCACAAATTGTATGTTTGTCTAAGCCGAATCACTTTAAACATTCAGTTTCAAATACTGACAAATTCGATTGGAAATGTCCACTTCACTGCGGTAGAAGTATATGGTCAGTGAAAGAGGCAGATTGATAGAGAATATGATCTACAAATACGCACCTGTATTTTGTCCTTCAGTGGAAAACGATGTAGTGTCTGTGGTTGATCTAGGACCTAAAGACGATACCACTAGGAATGTAGAATGTCATTGACAATACAAGGCACTATAAAAGCCTACCACAAAAGTATTATCTTTTTTAACATTGTATTTTGTACCTGCAATCTCTTTGAGCCTAAAATATTTCAAATCGTGTTGGGGAATAAGTCAGACTGTACTGTATATAGACGTCATTTCTGGAGATTCGCAACTTAAGGACGTCATGCATTGGACGTCATATATTACTGAAAAACACCCACCACCACTACTACTGCTGCTGCTGCTCCTACTACTACTACCTCCGCAACCGCCACCGGCATTACTACCACTACTACTACTACTACTACTACTACTACTACTACTACTACTACTACTACAACTACTTCTACTACTACTACTACTACTACCACTACTACCACTACTACTACTACTACTACTACTACTACTACAATCTTCACCACCAAAACCGCCACTACTACTGCCACTACTGCTGCTACTACTACAACAACAACTACTACTACTACTACTACTACTACTACTACTACTACTACTACTACTACTACTACTACTACTACTACTAGCATCACTGCTACAACTACCTCCACCACCGCCACCGCCATTACTACTACTATTACAATTACTACTACTACTCTTGTTGCTACTATTATTACTACCAGCACCAGCACCAGCACCACTACTACTATTGGTGAATATTGTATTTTTCTTATAGAATGTTTCTGAGCTATTCTTTCGGAGATATTATTTGGTTGTTGAGTCGATGCATTGATATCATTTCTAATACATGCATCACGTTAGCACGTAATTTCATCCTTTTGCACCTGTACATTCGGCTCTGCTTCTATCTTGAATAAACACTATGGGATAAATAGTGAGGTTATTGCTAAACCGGGGCCCAGCCTTACATCCCAACACGGAGCCCTGGTCGAGTGTAGAGTTGGTCCTGAGAGTCACGTTGTGCTGCTGGAGGGAGGAGCTGACACTGATACGTCCTGACCCAGACTGGTACTCGGGGGAGGAGGTGTTGGGGTTGAGTATCTCAGCAGATACGTCGGCATCACTGCTTGTATCAAATATGTTAACATTGTTTCTGTACCACTTGACACTTATCAATGCCCTGCCCTGTGCGGGTGTACAGGACAGTGTGAAGTCTGCTCCATCTGTGGCAGACTCAGGGTAGCTGGTCAGGTGGAGAGGCGCTGGAGCATATGTATTGTATGAGATAATTGTACAACGTCCTATTCTTGTACAGTATCAACACTTGAATATAACAAGTACAGTACTTTGAGATTCACCAATATATATATCGAACACTTACCTGTCGTCCCCACACAAGGATGCACACCAGCAAATAACGTCATAACGATCAGCGATGTTTTCATCTCATTCAGACGGCGGATTAATGCCACCTGTGAATAGTAAGATAGGAAAATATAGATCTGCATCCATTAAGAGAATTATTAACACTGATTTTCACATTTTACGATTAGGCCATAATATTTTAAATTATTATCATCTCTATACTTGTGGAAAGTGTGATTAGTCTCAGTTCATATTGTGGTCATATTCAGTGATACCAGCAAGGAATTATTCAAAGTTAAAAACACCAAAGTGCAACATCTTCATGGAAAATGATCGCAGAGGAGGCGTCAAGCATGATAAGATAAGGGCACTCTGGCAGTTTACAACCCTCTGTAGACAAGTTTGTATTAGCCCGGAAGATACAATGATACATTTCTACTTATTCACACTTATTCACTAACTTACCGTGTCGGGAAATATACCGTCCATAAACATGCTTTACTTCCAATACTCAGTCCAGATATACAGACACACCCTTCAGGGAGACGCAGTAATACATGTAACACCCCCGGAAGTGATCACAGTGACAGCCCGGGTAGACACTACAGAACTGGTTTGCGTTGTGCTTTTTCATAGAAGCTAGAAGTGGCCCATTGTGTCTGTAGACTCAATAGTGTTATCAGTTTCTCTATCCAAACATGGTGTGTGTTTTCCTTAATGCAGCCACCATCATGTTGAGGCTATGGAACATTATTAGATACCTACTGCTGAACAGATGCTTTGTAACTGTCATGAATACCCAGTAACGCATGTAACACCACACCAGGAAGTGATACACAGACACATTGAAGGTCGTTATGCATAACATGTTGTGTACAGGCTTTTTGTTCACAGAAACTACATAAAGTACTATTGTCTGTTGATTGAAAATGAGATTACAAAGCTATTATGTCTGTGCCCTTTTTGTGTAAGTTCATGTTAGATTTGTGGAGCCGCCCTGTTCTCAATATCCAGGACCCACTCATACATTTGTCGCGAGTTCTACGCATTTTACCTGTACATCGGAAATATTCGTTCCTAAAAGGTATCTTCAAATTTGGGCCACATGTCCTCAGACTGTGTGGACAGCTTACCTTTGTAAATAAACCGACCAAACCCTTTTCTTATCCAAAAGAAATCTCTGCATTAATTCCATTGTATAATTCGGGTTATATCATGTCTTTATCAATCACTTGCAAATAGTAATGATACCAGGTGTTCGCGAGAAGGTGAGAATCAAATACAAACTGCAGGTGCTTCGATGGGGATAGCTAATTTGTAAACGTTGGTGATCTCTTGCTATTTCCTCATCTGCTTACCATCTGTACATTGGAGATGTCAGAAATCCCGACCCATAAACACTCCCTTGATAGAATGTCAAAGGATCCAATTATGCAGCAAAGATATTTTAAATACTGACCTATAGACCCTGATTAAAGCTGATATATTTGCCAGATGCGCGTTTTAATAATGCCAAGATTGTTCTCATTAGAAACAGCCATTGTTGTGGCTGTATTGTATATTGAAATAGCCCACTCGCTGTGTTAACAGACAGGGAAAATGTAACATCTGAATCAGGATATTTCATACAGACTTGAGTCACGGAGAAGGACTTGTGTTCCACCACAGACCGCCTCGCGCCTCGTCGGTCTAAAGGATAGAGCCTATATAGAGGGTTGATAGAGATGATGATCGTGGATTCGATCCCCTGACCAGGTTATGCCAAAAGAAGTAAATAGATAGTACTTGTTGTTTCCCTGCCTCTTTCATTAATGGGATACAACAAGGACTTCTCTATTCGGATGCACATCTAGCACAATAAAATGGGCATCATTCCTGAAAGTACATTCATCCACACACACACACACACACACGCACGCACGCACGCTCGCGCTCACGCATGTCGTTATGTTAATGCAGTAAACTCGACAGCGACGTTAAACCCCATTTCACGTCACCTACAGATTGAATATACAACCCACGTATGCATGCATAGATTCAGTGACGGGGGTTCTGACGTGACACAGCATTAATAGGAAAAATGTATGTCTTCTGCCTGTTATTGGTGTAATTCCATGAGGGCAATGAGTGTTAGGCCTAAAATACTATGTGCAGTTTTAGACATTGACATTTCAGCAACATGTCGGCAGTCTAGAAAAACGAACGCTATTATGGTGTGACGGATGAGCCACATGGTGGGATTTGGTCCGCGAATGTGAAATTTCAGTAAATATAAAACGTCAATGCAAGAAAATAACCAGTCTTGATCATCGACCAAAACAAGATGCCAAAGGACAACATAACTGCAAATTATATGAATGGACCACTGAAAATCAATGATGACACTAGGTGTTCACGAAAAGAGTGGGTGTGTCCTGCCCCACCTGTAGCATCCGCCATTCACACAGCAGGCACATCATGTGTGTGTGAATTATGACAACATGCACCGCGCCAAAATGAAATTTATTCATGCAAAAGTCAATCATGACAGAAGTAAAAGAATTTTCTTTATAAAAAGTATCATACATTGTATAACGCAAGTTCAATCAAATGTACACACACAAAACATATTTTCTAACAGTCGAGGAGATACAAGTACATTAAGAATCACAAGCCAATAAAATATACACATAACACGCACGTTTTAAAAACACAAAGCAAGTACATTAAAAACATTAAGAGCACAACCAGACACGAAGTTGCCCATATCACAAGTAAAACACAGGACATCTAGGACACTAGTGATGTGTATGGGGATGTCACGGGGTTGTCCATATCACACGTACAACCCAGGACAACATCTAGGACACACGGTGATGTGTATGGGGGTGTCATGGGGTTGTCCACATCACAAGTACAACACAGGACAACAACTAGGACACACGGTGATGTGTATGGGGGTGTCACAGGGTTGTCCATATCACACGTACAACACAGGACATCTAGGAACCACGGTGATGTGTATGGGGGTGTCATTGGGTTGTCCATATCACTGGTACAACACAGGACAACATCTAAGACACACGGTGATGTGTATGGGTGTGTCACGGGGTTGTCCATATCACAAGTACAACACAGGACATCTAGGACTCACGGTGATGTGTATGGGGGTGTCATGGGGTTGTCCATATCACAAGTACAACACTGGACATCTAGGACTCACGGTGATGTGTATGGGGGTGTCACAGGGTTGTCCATATCACACGTACAACACAGGACAACATCTAGGACACACTGTGATGTGTATGGGTGTGTCATGGGGTTGTCCATATCACAAGTACAACACAGGACAACATCTAGGACACACTGTGATGTGTATGGGTGTGTCATGGGGTTGTCCATATCACAAGTACAACACAGGACAACATCTAGAACACATTGTGATGTGTATTGAGGTGTCATGGGATTGTCCATATCACAAGTACAACACAGGACATCTAGGTTACACTGTGATGTGTATGGAGGTGACAACGGGGTAGAACGTTACCTTCAAGATTCTTTCACCGACACAGTGACGTGCATGCACGTGTATGTGGCTGATTGTTACGGTCCGTGTGAGGTCGGTTTTATTCATGCTATCCCACTGAGGTACCATGCAGCAGTTTAACATGGATACTACATCCATTTTACAGACTCGGTGCCGACCTAATCTTGTTTGACCTCTTTAAGCCAAACACAATAAGAACTATCAAGTTGTTATTGGTATAAGGTGTCAAGCGGAACGAACCACCGATCTTCACCTTTCGGGAAGTGGTCGTAATTTGTATGAAACAGAATAGAACGTTTTTCATATGCCAAGTCTGAGAATTGTCCAGACCACTGGGCCCCAGATATTGAACACCCTGCCACACCACATCAAGAATGCAGTTACGTATCACTCAGTGGAAGCGGGTGGGTTTTCGTACTGACTGTCAGCAGGTGCTGTGTTGTAGTAGGCCGGGGACTCCTCGGTGTTGGCAGACAGGGAAGTAGGAAACTTTTCACCTGTGTGCCCATGATCCAACTCAGTGTAGTTGTTATCAGTGTTAGGGTCACGTGACATGGTGCTGTACATCTGGCTGTTGTTTTCTGCGATGTCTGGAACAACACACGACACGACTACATTTAGGTTAAATGGTATGAAATATAACACTAATATTGTCTCCTTATAGTGAAATAGTGTTATATGCTGGAGAAAAGGTGACGCATCAACTAATGCATTTATGAAACAGTGAAATGATATAAAATTGTTTCTAAACAAGTACGACACAATTGAATATAGAACCAACAAGTAAATAGTATACAGAAAATAGATATGTACAGACAAGCACAGAGTGTGTAAACAACACAGTGGAATCATTCTACATTGGACACTGTGAAAGAACAGCACTTACCCTGCTTGTATTCCCGTACGAGTAACACAGAGGTGGCAAAGGCGACGACGATGACGATGACAACGATGATGCTTCCAGCTACAGCAGTGATTAGTAAAATATTTCCACCTGGAGTACAAAGTAAACTCAATTTGAATCGTTACATGTATCATTGTTACCACGGCATCCTGTATTCTGCATTCAGTTTCAGGACCATGTTGTAGGTGAAGGCTGTTGTCACATTGACATGGAATAAGGAGGCGGGATGCTTTTGTCAACGTTTACTTACTTTCTGTCTAAAAGTGCATAAAAATGAAACTGTATATATGAACATATAAATATATTCATTTTTGTCAAATTAAAACTAAAGCAGTGAAAAGCGGAGTAATATGACACAGTCAAACAAAAAACCGTACAGGGCTACCTGATGTAAGCTGCAGAAAGGGGTTGAAATGAAGGTAATGTGTGATAAATAAAATAATATGAAATGAATAAAAACAACAATATCCTTTACCACCTTATAAGAAAACTCAATTCTAACTTTATCATGAGTGTTTAAGAATGACAATCATACAGTTCGCTAAAAGGTGAGTGTATCATGTCTCACAGGTGGCTCCCATCACAAATACATGCAAAGGAAAGTCAATTGTTCAGGTAAAAAGCAACAACACAGAAACATATGGTACAAGTCAAAATAAGGAATTGCATCAGACACCATTTTTGTCATTCATGAGTCAAATTTGGAAAAGTCCACATTCCAACCACAATACGTTTAGAAAGCTTTAATGGTGTCTTGAATGTTGTAACCTTGATCAAAGAACGTTTAAGGAAGATTGGAGGATTAATATCACAAATCACAATATTTTATGCATAATATAGGCAGATAAGTGCAATGACACACCTTCTGAGGTAGATAACAGAACTATCAACATAATAAGATATTTTTAACTAAACGCCAGTGAGGAGGATTAATATAACTATGATCTGTATAATATAATCAAGAGTAAGTGCAATGACACACCTTCTGGGGCAGATGGTGAAACAATTGTTCCAATCGTCGTTACGAAACTTCTGTCGACCGAAAATGATTGGGTTATGTGTTGTGGAAATATGTTTGTTTAAGCCTCACGTAATTCAGTACCACCTTCACATATATTAATACATGGAGTGTGTATTTACACTATATATATATTGTACGATATCAATAGTGAGGTTATTGCTGAACCGTCGATCTACCTGACACATCCGTTTGGTTGATCAACGTCCATATATTATATTAGTGTTTGCCTGTTCGCTGCTTAACTCATCAATCAGCAATATTCCAGCTATAGGCGGCGAGCCTGACCACTCGATCCGGTAAGTCGCCTTGTGTGGCAAGCATGGGTAGCTGAAGACCTATTCTAACCTGGATCTTCACGGGTCTAATATACAAGTGAATTACCTTGCATAGACTCTTTGAGTTCAACAGTGATGTTATTGCTGAACTGTTGTCTAACCTTACATCTCCACACGGAGCCCTGGTCGAGTGTAGAGTTGGTCCTGATAGTCACATTGTGCTGCTGGAGGGAGGAGCTGACACTGATACGTCCTGACACAGACTGGTACTCGGGGGAGTCGGTATCGTACACCAACATGGACCTTGGTAGGGTGGTTTGGAATATGTTCACTGAGTTCCTGGACCAAACAGTTTCTGTTATGTCATCTGCTCCTTCGCAAGACAGTTTTAGGATAACTCCATCTGTGCCTGGATGTTTTGTTGCATACACTGAGATAAACACTGACAATGAGACTAATATTTATACATGCCACACAATGATAACAGTCATCCTCTCAAGAAACTGGGTAATCAATTATTGTAAGTGTCAATTATTCAGCTACAGGAGATATATCACTGTAATCATTGGTCTCGAATACCATCCAATAAATATAATACCCCCATCACACCAGACTAGTTCTCAATACGTTCGTAAAAATGTTGTCGAACGGGCTCCAACTGTGTATGAACGTAGTGGACGTAGCAGCAACTATTGACAGTCTTTTTACGAACTTCATGGACGGGCTCGGACGGGGAGGGTGCTCTAGAACTTTGAGTGTGCTCAAAATTTTATCCCCTCCATCCCGTTCTGCAATTAGTCGGATTGACAACGTACTCAAAACGAGAAAGACGTATAACGAACGGAATTGCCATACTTCGAACCTACTAGGGACGTGTTACGACGTGGTGCAGTCGGACATACATTTCAGTACGTGTGCACACCGACCGGGTCGACTTCTCTTTGGAGGCATGATGTGTACAGCTCGGAGCACTGAACTTGAATGAAGACTGGCTAAAACGCGCTCGGTGTCCATAGGAGTCGGACCATGACGCGAATACACACGCACTTGGGACGAGATTAGGATGTACTGCGAACAAGTTTGTCGGGTTAAGAATTAGTTGGAACTGGCTTGGACGTATTGTGAACGGGGTAGAACGAGGTTGAACTGGTTAAGAACGGGTTCAGAACGGCTTCGGACATGCTCGAACTGTTTCCAAGCGTTGTAGGGATGAGGTGAACGGGCACTTTTACACGATCTGAACTGGATACAAACGGACTGCAGACTGCAGACTGGCTAAGAAAGAGACGTATTGAGGACTGCTTATGAACGAACTAGCATCCTATTTTATGCAAAACTACGCGTTCTACTGTGATCACAGCCCGTTCTAGTATTTTGTTTAGAACGGGGTAGAACGGGATAAAACTACTTTGGTGTGACGGTATGATAAGCGACAAAACCGCTTCGATATACATAAGAAAGCACGACTAAGATCGATTGTACGATTACAACTATATTATGAATATGTGTTAATGAATCACTATCAGATAGGCATGATACAAGGAGAAAAGGTGAGCGTATCCTGCCCACCTGGTTGTACTCATCACAAACACGTGTAAAGACACGTCAAGTGTTCACCTGTAAAAACACAGGAACACATCTTACAAGCCAAACGGGAATTGCATCAGACATTTTGTCACTGATGCTTCAAATCTGGAAATGTCAGCTACATGTCTACTATAACACTTACTGAAAGCGTTGCAATAGAACGCTCAGCATAGTATGTCTGTATCCGGTAATTTGCAATTAGGTTCCTTCTTTCTGTTATCAACCCACCAGTATTCCTTGACATTAACAATTGGCTTCCTTCTTTCTGTTATCAATCATCCATTATCCCTTAACATTGAAAGTTGGTTTGCTTCTGTTTTTACTCTATCATCAGCCATCACCCTGTGTTGTATACCCGTATAATGGTTCTGTTATCAGATGTTTATAAGCCTGTTCTGTGCTGTCTTACTTCCCACTTGATTGACAACAGTATAAGAATTTTATAATGAAACGCCGTATCACAATTAAACAAAGAAGTTGTCATCCATAAAATATATTGCCTATACTACTATTACTTACCACATTCTAAAAATCCAATCAAACAGTTTTTACTGAGACACTGAATGTAACCTTGATCAAAACAATTATGTAAAAAACCTAATTACGTTAAATACAAAACGTCAAAGATGAAGAATAGTCATCCCCGATCATCTGCCAAAACAGATTATATTGGGCACAGAATGCCAACCAGCATTGAAAATCATAAGAATGGGACAATGAAAGTCAATGATTACACAAAGGATAGGCATGTCCTGCTCTGTCCTCCTCTGTCGGTTAATACGCAAACTAGAAACAAGAGTGTAGATCAGCCCAAATCTCTGATACACAGCTTTAGCCCAAATCTCTGATGCACAGCTTAAGCCCATATCTCTGACACACAGCTTTAGTCCAAATCTCTGATTCACAGCTTTAGCCCATATCTCTGATACACAGCTTTAGCCCAAATCTCTGACACACAGCTTTAGCCAATATCTCTGATACACAGCTTTAGTCCAAATCTCTGAAACACAGTCGTATGTATATTATTCCAAGCCACATAATGTTGCATGTTTTGTTTTGCTAATCCATTAAAATGTTTCACTCTAAGTGAATTACCTTGAATAGACTCTTTGAGTTCAATAGTGAGGTTAGTGCTGGACTGTGGCCCAGCCTGACATCTCCACACGGAGCCCTGGTCGAGTGTAGAGTTGGTCCTGAGAGTCACGTTGTGCTGCTGGAAGGAGGAGTCGACACTGATACGTCCTGACACAGACTGGTACTCGGAGGAGGTGGTGAGGGGGTTGAGTATGTCAGCTGATATGTCGGCATCACCGCTTGTATAAAATATGTAAACATTGTTTCTGTGCCAGTTGACACTTATAAATGTCCTGCCCTGTGTCGGTGTACAGGACAGTGTGAAGTCTGCTCCATCTGTGGAAGACTCAGGGTAGCTGGTCAAGTGGGGAGGCGCTGGAACATGTGTATTGTATGAGATTAGTATACAATTTCATGTTCTTGTACAGTATCATTTGAATATAACAAGTACAGCACTTTATGTTTCACTCACCCATATCGAACACTTACTTGTCATCCCCACACACGAATGTACACCAGCTAATAACGTCATGACAACCAGTGATGTCTTTATCTCATTTGGACGGCAAACTGACGCCCCCTGAGAATTGTAAGATACGAAAATAGAGATCTGCACCCGTAAGGAGAATTATTAGCTATGAGGTTTACATTACGATCATGCATTCATATATTACAGTTATTATCATTTCTATACTTGTGGAAAGAAATGCGGGATCACATGAGGAGTGA